GTGATTTATAGACCTTAAGAGAGCCCTTTATGGTGAGTTTATTATATTTCAACCCTAAAGGGAAACGATGTAAATCTGGAAAAGTCATGAGATTGTAAGATAAATGAACATTATATAGTATAGACGCACAATGTATCATGCTCGTGTAAATGTACATGTACTTACCAAAGCTTAGGCCTTATTTTCTCATGGTTATACTTGGGTTATAATGTAATTAGTGTGTTTTCATTTATTTTAGATTGTTATCTACGTCTGGGACTTAGTTTTTATTGTGTAACACCTATCATCTGAGGCCTACACCTAACTTGTGAAGTAGTGTAAATGACGGAGTTGTCATTAGCCAGTAGCCCAGCCCCTTTTGACAGTTCAAGTGTACTTTTGTTCTTCATATAAGTTTGTGCAACCCAAGACAGACGTGTGAATAATAATCACGGGGCACAGATGCAGAGAAGTCTTGTGCATTTTTTAAAGTAGGCTGAAACTCCTCTTAGAGTCAAGTGGCTCTAATACACGTTCCCTATGCGATTGGTAAGATTTTGAAAGAGCAACAACTACTAGAATTATTGTCCACTCAAAATATCCTAAAATAATGGTGGTTTTCTGTGATTAAGGAAAAAATGAATATCAGGGGTCTAAACGTTGACGACAGAAATATAGAGTGGTTATGGTGCTAGTAATGATTCCGAACGGTTTAAGGCACCTTCCCATATCTGTACGTTTTTTTGGGCTGCGTTGAGGACACGATGCGTTCCACTTTCACGGACACAAACAACGTATGCGTTTCTTCGGATATGCACAACGCTTTTGCAAATTGTTCCACGGATCGAGTAAAGGGGCAACACAATCCGTATGCTTCAAGCGAAAATCCAAATGCAATCCGAATACGACAACCGGCCGTGGCTCATGCCGTTCAGATTTCACTTTCTTTTCAGTATCACTACAAAGTCCACTATAGAGGCTTTGCGTAGTAGCCATCTTGCAGGGCACTTCTTTTTTCCTTTGAGAATACACCGTTGGACAAAAGCACTGGCCTGCAAGATTACGACCATGCATACCCTCAAACCACGCTCAATCCGTTCCAGGGTTAGGATTTGGATGGGATGGTGTTCCTATTGACAACGCACGCATGTTTTAGCCTGGATATGTCACGCAAGCCTCGGTTAAAATTACGTAAGAGTCAAATGCGTATTAGGCGTATTATGCATACAACTTCCAACTCGTAGGTTGAAATATGATGAACGGAGAATGTTAAAAGTCTTTGTTCTTACACACAACATGTGACAGTAACTAGTTTGTTTCACCGTGCTTACAAGAACATTATCAATAGGAAAGAAATGTTGTATTTCTGCCGACGATAGCATGTAAATTTCTGGGCCTAGCTTTACAACGATCTCAAAAACCTTTCCGCTTGATACACGGTATTACTGTAACAGTCTGGACATTGACGTTACACTGACAAGTATTCGATTAGCTCGCATGCATCAAGGAATGCACGACGCATTTTAAGACTAGGTACTGGTGAAGGCAAACTTATCAACTGCAAACTATCTCAAAGCTAATACTTTCGGCTTTCAGTCCTTCAGCGGCCGTTTGCTATAACTTGTCTGTAGTTCATTTCGGTGTCGGCAAACGACAGCCTGGTTACATATAAACTGAAAAGAACACATTTGAGACATAAAGAGCGACGCCTCTCAAATTCTCCCCGAATGCACTGGCCGCTTTGACAACCCAGCGGTTGCATTCGTTGGCATACACAAACGCTATGAAAAGAAAACAAAGCTATACTACAGTTGCACTGGCTGCTTTCAGCCAATGCTGTGGATATTCTATTTAACAATTTGGAAAACACAAAAAATACACGGCAAACGTACCTTTCAGCATTTCCAGATTCCAGTTATCCAGGGGAACTAATGTTGTTTTCAACACGAAACTGTCATAATAACAGGGCTGGACTGCCATAACGGCTGTATGCTAAATAGATCTCGGCTCGCATTATTATTCAAACAGCCACGTTCCAGTCATCCAATCAGCAGCGTCACGCTTTGCATTTGATGGGAATCCCCCAGATTGCAATGTATCCACGCACGTTAGCGAGGCCTGCCAGCGGCCATGTAGCTCCAGTGTGCTACGAGCACGAGAAGGCTGGACGGGTTGTACTGTACAGACACCGTCAATGAGAGCCGGCCAATTGTACCATGACTGTACAGTACTTGATCATCTCTTACCCGAAACCGAACACACTTTCCACGTCCAGTCCACGTCCAGAGGAGTCTTGATGACTCGTAGGTACCGACACTCCGTGTCATCATGAAGGTGGTGAACATGCTAAAATACCAGCCCACTGTCGATGCAGCTTTGATGCCAACAGCATGTATCAGGCAAATGGTGAAATTTTATTTTTTATACATGTATATAACGTTAATTCTTTTATAGTGGGGCCCAGGCAAAACGTCTCAGTTCTTGCAGGCCCATACGAGTAAAAACCATGGCTACGGTCAAAGTGGTCATTACTCACGTGAAGACGCCATCACGTACCATTGTTCAAACTTCAAACGGACCGGTGCCCGATTTCCTTTTCCCGAGAGTAACCATTTCTTTGAGTGAGATAGGATAATCCAAGTGCTAAGATTGCGTGCATGATCTACCGCATAATCATTGGGCTGGTTCCCTGCCGCATCAAAACACCGTCGACCGTAAAAATAAATGACGTAGCGCCTTATTCTATTTTAGGTGCAACGGGCGAACTTCATTTGTTTATAAACAATCGTGGTGTGGAGATCAATGTGAAACAAAACGAAGAAAATTCAATGAACGTCTTCTGATCTCGATGTGTGTTGATAAATCGAAAAAAAGTTAATATTTGCAAAGATTTACAACACAATCCGAAACTGATTTCGGACAATTTCGGCGGATATCGGAATTTGTCGGAAACGGGCTCCGGCCCCCCCTCCCCCACACTCTCACGGCTGCAGCTGACGTTCCTAAGAAAGATCTCTCGAAGTCGTTAGCATGTTTTATCGGGGAACCAGACTACGCCAATCACCGTAGGGCACGTGCACGGCGCACACGCGGGGACAGTACAACTTGTAACAGCACAAAGGGGACGAGGTTGAAGCGGCTCGTGTGGGGAATTCCCCGACATTAATCAGCGCAGGTTAAATCCCAGGCGCGATGTCGCAATCACGGAGTATTGCGCAACCTTGCTGGAAAGACCCGCTGTGCAGGGTCAGCTCTTTTGATAATCCAAACGACATAATAATAACACGACATTGTGGATTAACTTAAATATTACTCAATTGGATCCAAAATTCAAGCAAAAGTTTCCAACTGCAAATCATAATACCACAGTCCCAACCACAAAACCACGTAACAGAGGATCTGGCGAAAATGGGGGTGAAACCTGAATGTACGACTACAACGGCATTTTTTGTTGTTAAGAGTAAGAATATGGGCTGGAAATATTACGGAGACTTCCCTAAATTGAATGTGCTGTTGAATCAAGTCATGACCATAGTACCTTTGACTACTTTCTGTAATCTGACATTGATAAATATACAAATAATAAAATTTCCTTGGAGTGTCAGCCTCAGGACGTGTGCACTCAATAGACTGTTAGAGAAAGCAACACAACGACAGCAATGCATACAGTTGCGAATATTTTTATTTCAGGAAATGTTGATTTTACTTTTCAAAAAAAACAACAACAAAAAAAACATTTGATAATATGACATTTATCAATTCAAGCTTTCCATCCAAACCCTCCGAGCCATTTTATTTTCACGATTCTTGTTATGCTGACTAAGAATCACTGAGTTGCAGTTAGAAAACACGCAAGTAATGCTGTGCCCAAGTCACACTTATGTGACATAGTGATATTCCATTCAATGCAAGGATGCGTTATCCGGATTTACAAAGAGAATTTATGGACTGTTTCCAGATAAATTTAATACCTAGAAAATTCACACATTCCTTTTGTGTTGCATTCGATACATTTAAATAAATTATTCCAACACAATTGTAGTTATTCTTGGCAAATTTAAGGGTTAAAACAAACACTTCTTTTCAAAGGAAAACAAGCACGTTTTAAAGTGCACGTGCTAAAAATTAAACTACAGCTTGGAATAAATTCTATCTAATGAATCTATTTCAAGACTGAATTTATTATGGTAGGTTTCATTAATCTTGAATCTGTCTCTTGATCCTTGCAAGCGAGATTGCATAATTTCTGCATCCACTCTTTAGATGTTAAGGTGCTCTTTCAAGACCACGCAACTATGGAATGATCGAAAATTGGCCTGGGTAATTTTTAGTTTCATTTTAGATGTGGAACTTTTGCCTAAAGACACTCCCTGGTAATGAAACAAAACTAGCATAATATTGTAGGCCTACATGTGCAAAATTAGAACTCAGTTATTCCCAACAAGGCTGAAAATAAATAAAAATTCACAGGCACTGAGTGAGGAGGAATTAATAGGTAAAACAGATAACATATCATCGCTGGGATTGCTTAAAAAGGATTCACTTCTTGCAAATTTCAATACAGCCCTCGATCAACACCTGTTCAAAACGGCTGTTCTGAAATTAACCCTAACCCCCTAGGGTGTATGTAAAATAATACTGAAATCGGAGGATTTGGGACTGTTCGGGCAATGCTAGAAACAAAAAACAGGCAAAAGAAAAAACATTTGAAGCTACATTTTCGGTATGATGTTTCTAAATTTGCAGAGGGGTTGGTTTTTTTTTGGCTTGAAATGAAAATAATGACTCGAAAACAGATATGTTAATTTCATTTGTGCTTCTTTTTCTCAGCAATTCAATATGATATTTTTCCAGGGAGGTGCAGCAAACTGAATGACCACTTTTATTTCTGTTTTACTTTTATTTAAAAAAAAAAACCCTTTAAAAGTGACGACAAATATAAATTTACATTTGTTATACAAATCAGGAAGGGACTTTGTACAAACTTGGGGCTGTTTTTCTCTTCAAAGACGTCTACTTACTGACATCCCGAAGGAGAATAATGAACTCTGTCTCAGCCAATCCAAAGGAATTCTCGGGTTTGTCTAAGACGTTGAAGAGACTCCCACCCTCACACAGCTCCATGACGATGACACGATCGTGGGAAGTGGACTGAAAAGGAACGAGGGAGTTTTTTTAGTGCTTCAAGTAATAAAGTTTATCAGTTAATCAAGCTAAACCTGAAGTTTATCCATGCAGTCTTTTTTTCTCGTTGAATGACTTGGCCATTTCGTGCCGCACCGGCCATTGAAGATGTTTTATTTAAAAACTGCTTTTCACCCATTTTCGTCTAGGTTTATAATTACTTTGTAAGAGAAGGCAATATCCTTATAATTCTTTCACCAAAACTATTCTTTGTTATAATTACAGAACAGTTTTCTGGTCCTTTGGGAAAAGTGACATCCTTCCTCACTGGCAAGTGACACTTTCTTGGGGAAATTCACAAACCCCATATGCGTCGAGTAGGCCCTTTTTTCTTTTTTTGTTTACAGAGTTTGGACACGGAGATAAACTTACATCATATTCAATGGCAAGAAGTTTCACAATATTGGAGTGTTTTAGTTTAAGGAGGACGTCAAACTCTCTCTCCTGCACGCTTCCAGGTCTCCGGTAACTGACATTGTTGAACACCTTCACAGCAACCCTCTCACCAGATTTCTGGTGGAAAAAGGGGGAAGAAGAACAAAGATGCCAAGCACTGCATTCCGTATAAAGCTGAAAAAGAAGCTAACATTAAATACGTAAAAAAAGTTTTTCCGATAAGTGATATTCTTGGCCTAGACACTGTGGAATTTATGCAACCTTCGAAGTAACCTGGCGATTGCAAGCTGATCTGCGGGATTTGTACCTTTTCTCTGCCACCAAATACACTTCCCGTTGCTCCTTCGCCTTTCTTATCGTCCGTGTAGTAGATGTAAGACTGGGTGCTCCGAAGTTGTTTAGGTTCCCTTCTCGTGGGTATTTGATAGTGGCTAAACATATCCTGCAACGCAACACACAAAATTCTGGTCGGAACATGCATGGAGTAAAATTAGCACTGTTATGCAAAAATGATAATAGGTCACTATCATAATATCTATGACTTCATGTTTCGAATGTAGCGCTGGTCAACTCTACGTTATTACAGTTGGAGACTTCCATCGTTTAATACCGAGCCACTTCATGAAAGTTGGCCAACATGCCACAACAGTGCTTGTTTAACCATAGCGAGCCATTGTGGCAACGGTTTACTAAGGCAAAATTTACAAAGGAATGCGGCTTTTGTATTGACGGAAATCACCTTTCTGTGAAGAAATACCTAAAATGGTCAAAGCCTATCCTGTGCATTCCAATTGGTTCCTTCTGTTGACACGCAAACCATTCGAAAGTCAGAACGATAAGTAGAGCTTATTCAAGCAATATTGCCAGCTGACGGATTTTTTAGCGCAGGTCGTGAATACCAGTGACTGAAAGGTTAGGGAATGCATCATGACCACAGGTGCTAACACGATAGGATACGCGCTGAACGCCTTGCACTTAATTTATCAGAACATGAAAAGCGCATGAAAACCTCAATACATGCAATACAGTCAAAGTAGGAATCCAAATCGAAGTCGTAATACTACTTTTATTTTTTCAACTTAGTTTTTTTACAACTCTTTTCCAAATATCTTTTGTTTAATATACATTCTCCAGTTTGTTCTTGTGGTATCCTTTGTTTTAGAAACAGTGTCTGCTTTTGGAAAACATCGGGACGTTTTAGGAGATATATTTTTTCATCAAATTTGTTTTATCAACTATGTTTTTCAAGTCAATTGTCAATAGAAATATATCTCCAAGTTTGACTTTATTTCTCACAAAACAAATTTTAAAAACTTATGAAAACGAGCTGGAAAAAATATATCTCCTAAAATCGATTTGTTCCAAAATAGAATAAATATTGCCCAGATATACAGGTCTCATAAAAATAAACTATATAATATGTCTCGAACAAAAGAACATAGAAAAAATACATATCTTAGAAGAGAAGTTGGAAAAATATATTTCCTAAAAAGAGATTTCGAAAAAAACTTCACTTTTTGCAAATATATACTTGATGGCACTTCACGGCCTTCGTAAATCAGTAATGCCGATGCAGCGCACTCACAACAAAGGTCACTACTAGTTTTATACATGTGCATTTGTTACAGCCCATTGGCCTGCAACACATCACAACCGTTTTGACGTCACATGCACCGGTAGCGGACAGATGTAATGCACATTACCTTCATGTAGCACTTGACTTCCCGGCGAACGTTCCGTGCGTTCCTTTTGGAGATTTTTGCTTAAATAAGGCTGTTTTTTCTTCGTATCGGCAGGGGAAAATGAACCTTATGAAGGAATTATGGACTACAGACTGGCTGAGCAGTGTGGTATGAATTTTCAGGGCCATTGGAAACTCGTGGGCGAGCATGACTACTCCATTCGTAATCTCTTCCACTTCCATGGATGATGACACATCGCAGTGATATTTAACGCCCTATTACTGTATAAGTGCAACCTTAAAATATACATGTAAGTGATCGACATTTGCGATTGTTTTCTGAATCGTCCATTGATTATGTGTAGTACTTGTACATTACAGAAACTTTGTGCCAAATACACGTATAGCAATGGATCACATTACATAAGTTAACTGTCCTAATAACCCGCTGCTTTTTTTTTTGTTCGGTGAATAGTCTATTTATGACTGGAGAGTAATTTGGATAACTGTCAGGCGTGTGTCATAGTATATTCACGCGCTGTGACTAAGCTCCCTTCGCGATGACGTGGAGGACTTTGAATGGCACTGTGCTCATCCAAGGACTTTGTAGGAAACGTATACATCTGTATTTTAGTCGTGATCACCTTGTTATGACTAGTTTAATTTTTATTAGATATGTATTTTTATTTCATAATTCACTCACATAATAACAGTCATATTTCTGCGGAAGGATGTTGTAGTGGAACATTTTTAGTCTTTTGCCGCTTTCGAAGGAAACCAGAAATGAAGATTAAATTGTGGTAAAACTCTTGTAGTCAGGTGTAGCTAGTGAGGGAAGAATTCAGTTCACTGGTGCGACACATGGAATAGGATTTTATGTTGGACTCTTGTCATGATAAACGGGCTCTCTTTAATAAAAAGGCCGATTTATACTTCAAGCGAATGCGAAACCCGAAAGCAAAGTGAATTGGACGTCACGAAAAAATTGTTTTCAACTTGTGCACTTCGCAAGGCAAATATTAATTGATCTGATATCACAAACTTACGTTCGTGTTCGGTTATGCATCAAGTATGAACCGGCCTCATAATGCAAATGGATTGGGGCAAGAATGGTGACAAAATAACACACGCATGCGGCGTAGTCTTTTAAGAAAAAGAGAACAGATTTTATGGGAGTCTAAATTTCATAGGACACCGAGATGGGCCTACCAAGAATGAATCTAAATGTGGGCAAAACAATGCGCCAACAAGGTTTATACTTTTCTGTTTAATGTATAAAAGAACTTGACCCATGTGATTGGAGGTATCTTACCGTGAAATGAAAGCAATGTTAACATTTTTATGTAGACCGCAACTTCACATATTCGGTACACTCAAACCTAAAAGCTTTTGGCAAACACAAAAATAACTTCCGACACACAGGGTTTACTTTATATCAGACCATAAACAGAAGACATTGTTGAAAGCTGTTTTGAACATGGCAAACTTACCGAAACCGGTACCCTATTTCCAGGTTTCTAGCCGCACGATTGTGATTTTTAATCTGTAGCATTTCCATGTGACATTACAATGCATTTCCCGCCAAATTGCCTGGTGCCTGGTCCTTCATTGTTATTTTGCGGAAAGAAAATACTCGTAAGTACATGGGAACCGAATCACGGTTTACACTTTTGGCGCGATTTTCACAAAGCGAAAGAGTATGAAGTTCAAGGTTCAAGCCATGCATGTCGTTGTAGTTATAACATTGCACACAGAGTATTACGGAGAATCCAAACCATTTCGACTTCAGGCATCACGATATTAGTGCTGGCAATGGCATGAACAGCCACCTACGAAAGCCCACTTGTGCCATGAATTCAAGTATACTTCTTTAGAAAGTGTACTTTATGACTTGATTTAATTTAAGAGATTTCCAGTGTTCGTTTCTCCGAGACATATGTCTATCAATACCTTGTTCTCAAACTGGCCACAGTACAGGCCTTTACAGTGTTTGGGATAATCGCAAAACAACTTTTAGAATCCACGAATAGTGCACGATGACGCCGGGAAATGGTTTATGGACGAGTAAGCAATTACCAGAAAATGTCCGTATACTGTTACGTGCTATTTTAGAGGAGAGAATTATTTTATTGTGCTTGATGTAATTCTAATTTATAAGTATAGAAATTCACCTTCATTCTGGGGCTCGACAGCTTTGTAGTGGATTTCATGTACTTTCATAGCCACTTTCCTCGGCTATTTTCCTCCATCACTAGCGAGATGATGATATTGCTGTTTTCTATGACGCTATATTACATGTACTTATGATTAACTAGATAAGAGAATTGAATTAAATTAAAATTTTACAGCACGTACCTCTGTCTCCAGTGAATCTTTTTTTCAATGAATTTCATATTTGGATGGAAATAGTCCTCCTAATCATGATGGATGGACACAGGCCCTCATTTAATTGAAGTCCAGTAGGATAAATGCTACACGCAAAAATTCCTATATGCTCTGCCTCTGTTGCATATTGCTAAGCAACTGTAAACAATGTCAAGTGCAGCGGTGGGAGCGCGTCTGCGCATGTTGCATACCTGTTTCATACAAATCGTTCAACAAAAGCTCGTTAATGAGGCCTCGAGGTAAGGGATATCAGATATCTCAATTTCTTACCCCCCAAAAAACATCTCACGTTCAGATACCTGTTCTTATTGCGCTTGAATTGGGATAAGTTTTATGTTCGTGGAATCCGGTAAACAGGAAATACAAGAGCAAAACAGGGGGCGGAAAAGAGATTGTTGGAAATTGGCTTTGGGAATTGTACGGACACGGCGAGAATGGAGGGGCGGTGCGGTTGCAAGCAACAGCCAGTGTTGGAGCACACGGTTACGATGAAAGATGCAGAGTGAAGACACAAAACGACGTGGGAGAGCTTCCAGGGAAGCTGCAAGACTCAAGAGACACCAGTCCAACAAGACATCGCTGTATCCTATCGGGGGGGGGGCGATTCCTGCCCAGAAACTGCACTAGGTTAATCTGTGATTGTGAAATCGTTTAGGCATTGGCGCGGATTGTATTGTTAAAAATAGTCATCGATGGGGAGTATTATAACGATCATAACAAACTTTAGTAAGTTACAAGTTATGACATGTACATACACGTATTTCAGAGAATACCGTACCGCGGCTTTGTCTCCATGCATTTTTGCTGACCAAGTATACATCATCCATATTTATAACTATGATGCTCACCGTATGTATTGATTATGTTCAGCTGATAGTGACAAGTACAGGTGCTTATAGTTTCCACGATTTGCCTCAAGGCCAAAGTTCAAATTCATCGTACGGCAATGCTTAAGAATATGCGTTTGCTGTTCATGAGCCTTTCGCTACGAAGCTGTATTGGGGACATGGCGAAAAAATACATCTCTTTTCCTTGAGCGAAATCCACCGTTTAATTACAACGTGTACATGTATGTCGTATGCTGTAGATACGACGTGTACAATGAATTATGAATTATAAGTCGTACGAGAAATAACTCGAGAAATTGCGCAAGACAGAGTAGTATCACTCAGTGGGTTTCGATAATGTTAATTTGAGGGTTGGCACGAGGAAGCTAATGTCTCAGCTTGATTTGCGGTCACGGAGAGTAGTGAAGAACTTGATTTGGTCAACCAAGGATTAGGCCTACAGTCAAATCTAATATACATGTATACCTTATACTAAAATGATTTTCGTCTGAAGTGTAGCATACCTAAGTTCAGGCCCCCAGCAGTGACGGCTGCTTGTGTTCGTGGCTCCCGCTGGCAACAATCAGTAGGCCAAAGATACAGTTTGCACGGTTTCTTAATTAACGGTCAACGTACCGACTGCTGCTCAGATCACACCATAGAGCTACAAACCCACACAACTGCAGCACGTAACGTTCGTCCGCCTTCGATTCCGCTTAGTAAATTTGAGTCTTTTTTGCGAGGATTCTATTTTAACTGTACGCAGAGTGGGCTATTCCTGGAATACATTACGCCACCATATGGCAAGAATCCACTGCAGCGGCAACCCTTTCCCGAACAAGATCCAATCAGAGGAAAGCAGTACATAACATTACATCATGCATCGAAAACATACATGTAAGTCTAGACACTTCTGCTGAAAAGACAACTCAATCAACCCCGCAAACGTCATCGATCTTATTATTTTTAAATTAAAAAAACCCGTGCAATTTAGACTGGACTAATTGTAACAAAATTACATGTATCAATGTATACATGTTTTACAACCATTTGTTTTGTCACTTTTTATGTAGCGGTCCGGCCCCCTGGCCGATCGCTCGGGGGCGGCGGTCCGTCCGCCACTTAAGGGGGAATTGGAGGCCAGGCAGGCAAAAAGAAAGTTCAGCAGACACTGAAAGACTTGGGTGTTCAAGCGGACTGGATTTCGTTTATTTCGCCATCACTAGAATCAAAACTGCTTGGACAATTAAAGCGGTGGTAATCTACGTGATTCCCGGCCAAGCCATCACGACGTCCATCCACCCAGTCGTCTCGCACAGCACCTCCCGCTTTCCCGAAAAAACCTTGGAAACTCGCCCAACTTCAGTGCCGCCAAAAAGTATCACATTGTAGGCCACTTCCGGCCGACAGGCAAGACTTACAGAAAAAACTTGCCTTGAAGACGTGCACAAGGTTCAAAGGTCACACAATCTGCTAAATTAAATGGGGAATTCCCAGATCCCTACATTTATGAAGACTTGACGATGTTTCTGAAACTCGCCACGTCGAGCTGGCCCAGTGCAAAAAAAAAGCTAACTAAAAATGATGAAAAAATACATTGGACTTGTGGTTGTTTGTGTTAATGTTACGAATTTGGTTTCAATGTCGTTAATCTGTCTGTGGCCATTATATCATACGTGACAATTTCATATGCACAGCGCAAACTCTATGTGCGGACATCTTTACACTCCCCCCCGATAAAATAGCTCATTCTCGAGTACAGATTTGATTGCATGAATTGTTCGGCGAGAAAAGTGTTCCAAACGATTAAGAAGATATTGCGTTTAATGTCATTACAGTAGTAGGTCTATAGTTCAAAAGGAGGAATTTATAAACTGCTGAAGTTCCAAACCCGGTTACTTACAAACTTGTGACTTTGCCGTGTGCTGACTGTCGACATAAGTCCTCTCTGTACGTGAGCTGCAAGTGACAACTCGTAAAAAAATGACCAACATTTAAGCAGCTGTCAGCTGTCCAATCGTTGGTAAAACTGGTATGACGATACAATGACGTTGCAGTTCGTGATGGCAGCCATAATATTTTTGATCGTTGTTGTGTAACAGAAAAACGCAAGTGATCCCAGACAACTTCAACATACATTGTACTATTATGTGGCCCCTAGTTTCTTCATCTAGTGTGGAAAAGACTCTAGACTTGGGATAAAATGACAGATAGTCGATATACCTCATAACAACACACGACGAAATTTGTCGAATATACACGACGAATACTTTGTCTCAACCAACACAACAATAACAAAGACCAGTGACTTTGTGAAATAGATTGGAAATATATCGGAATCTATACATCTGAAAGGCAATAGGAAACAGGAATAGATCCACTCCAGTCATTCGGACAAAGCGATTTTTTTATAGACACTGATATCTCACCATGATGGTGGGGTGACGGGCTTTACTCGGCCCGAAAACTTTCCCCGAAGGTTACCCTTTTTACATTTTATTCGAACTCTTTTCAAGAAGTTAGGCCTACCGCGGTATTTCTGACCCAGAAATCCGTTAAACATTTATGTTGACCCGGATTTTCCCCGTCCTGAATTTCAGGGATCAGTGCTTCGGTGTCAATTACTCTGTCCAATTTCCTTGAAAAAGGTTTGGTTTGTCATCTCGCAGGCCTGTAGTAGAACTTCGAACAAACCTGTGACAACTGTCAACGACTCTACACGATGTATAGTTAATAAAATCGACGTTAACACTAACGCCTCTGAATCTTCCAAATTTAATTGTAAGAATTATAACATAAGAGGGCTAACTGTATGATAGAATATATAATGAATGTTTCTAGAATACACATAATCAAGCAAAAATCAATAGTGCGCCTCTGAGAGTTTGCACCGCGTTGGCCAATCAATCACAAAGCGCGAAATCTGTCGACCCTTTCTAAACGCGCATTGGGTCGACAAATTTGTTTAGAACGGTTGTTCTAAACAAATAAATCATCAATGGATTCTTTCAGATTCATGATTAATCGATGTGTTGAAAATAAAGAACATAGTTTATTCTTCAGCACAGAATAAAAAGACGTTAGTGCATATGAGTAGACATTTGGTAATACACGGGGAAGCCATTTTGATTATTATGACACATATTCTATTCGGACCTGTTGATTTCCCTTCTGACATTGATGATATTTGCTTCGAACAAATTCTTCTGTAATGTGAGGTATCACGCATTCATCGTCGAGGGAATGATAGATAGGAGCATTATCGTCTTTTCTAGGCGCGTACAAGGGACCATTACCACTTCTGCGTTTTCCAATTGCAGAAAAGTGTTCATTAAAGACATCACCAATGTCAATATGATCGTCAATGTCTTCTCCTTTTGGACAAAGGATGGAGTTTGGAACACTTTTCTGATTCTTCGGGAGAACCTCCTTTAGCTTTTTCCATAACATACATGAATTGCTTTTGTTTTCTTCTATGGCTGACGTGAAGTATTCTCTTTTCTTTTGACGTATTTTCTTAATCACCACGTTACGCAGTTTTTTGTAAGAATCCCAGAGTATTTGTGACCCTGTGCGTTTGGCGAGTTTGTGCAACGATCACGTTGCCTCATAAGCCGAAGAATTTCCCCATCGAACCAGTGTAAGGAGTCACCCCGAATGCGTTAAGTTTTAATCGGTGCGTGGAAATTGATAATGCACATAAATAGGGAATTCCAAATAGACCACGCTTCGTCGACGTCACGACAATAATGTTGCCATGGTGCATTAATGAGATCTTCCTTTATAGCGTCAATGTCTATATCTTTAAAACAACGAAGACTGATTGAACGACCTTTCATTTTTGGCGTTTTCCAACTATGCGACATTCCAATTTTCATATTATTTCCATATTTATTTAATAATTTTAATATTTCCATATTCCAATTTGCGACATTTGAAACGAATTTAAACAAGAAGTAATTGGGTCAGGATTTACCCTATCATTTTCGGAAACATCACAATTGAAATCCCCAGTTACAATCATTTCTTGGTGCTCCCAGGAGGCTTTATCGATAAAGTCGTCAAGTTTGTCTATGAAATCAACACAGCTTGAAGGTGGTTTATACGCAGAACTGATGAGTACAAGCTGTCTTTGT